CTCTCTCTCTCTCTCTCTCTCTCTCTCTCTCTCTCTCTCCGCAGGTCAGGAGCAGGTAAACCGCAGGTGAAGCGCAAGTAAACCGCAGGTGAAGCGCAAGTAAACCGCAAGTAAACCGCAGGTGAGGTGCACGTAAAGCGCAGGTAAAGCACACGAGCGAAAGATAGTCGTTTCTTCCTCTCGCTTGCTTGATTAATCTCTCTCTCTCTCTCTCTCTCTCTCTCTCTCTCTCTCTCTCTCTCTCTCTCTCTCTCTCTCTCTCTCTCTCTCTCTCTCTCTCCCCCCTTGCACACGGGTGAAGAGCAGGTAAACCGCAGGTGAAGCGTAGGTGAAGCGTAGGTGAAGCGCAGGTAAAGCGCAGGTGAAGCGTAGGTGAAGCGCAGTTAAACCGCAGGTAAAGTGCACAAGAACGAAATATAGCTGTATCTTCCTCTCGGCTGCTTGATTTCTCTCTCTCTCTCTCTCTCTCTCTCTCTCTCTCTCTCTCGGGATCACGATCTCTTTTTTCTTTCTCGCTTTCGCTCACGATAGGCGCAAACGTGTGCTTACGGCAGGAGCCGCGGGCAGATCGCGTGCATCTCCGGCCTAGAGGAGCGGAAACGGAGCGGAAACGGCGCGGAAACCGGCGAGGAAACGGAGCGGTAACGGCGCGGAAACCGGCGGAAACAGGAGGGAAACAAAGGGGAAACTGGCGGGAACCAGCGGACAACAGGCGCAACACCTTCGCAAGCAATCGCAAGCAATCCCAAGCAATCGCGACCATCGAAGCTCGGCGCGCATTTCGGGCGCCTTGGCAACCGCCACCGCGCGAAAACCGACGCGGGTCTTTCTGATATTCCCCGTAATTTCCCGCTGAACGGGCCTTGCTACACTACACAGCACCCTACATGCATTTGTGGGCTTTCGAAGCCCGGTACATTCCAAATGTTGGACTTGCGAATGCACCTGCACAGGGAACTTTCCAAATTCATGGAGTGTTGTGTATTCGAGCGAGACACTCCCCCCCCCCAACCCCAACACTGACACACATGGAGAAGTAATCTTCCCCAATAAAATACACCCGCCATACTTTGTGCCTCGCTGCACTACTCTTGAAATGCACAAAAGACAAATCATGGCCGTGTATCTTTCCATATTCTAGCGGAAGATTCACTCTCGTTTTGCACATTTCGAGAGTAGTGCAGCGAGGCCCTTTTTCTCCTTTTCACATTCGACCAGCGGCGTTGGGTTCTTTTTTTAATTGGGGTGATCACAACTGTCTATATTCTTCTCTCAACTTCTGTTTTACCTTCCACTACCTACTCCTAAGACTATCTAGAGGGGACCCCTGCAAGCATAGTTTTCCTCTCTYTGTGAAGGGGGGATTTCATGTTGCCCCGTGCCCCTAATGGTTAGGGTATAGGGTTGGGGCCGCCAGTTCGCAGCCCGTCAGGGGTGCGTTTTATGCCCCTGAGACATTTTCGTGGTCGTTCGTTATACCGGTCGTTCATTCGGGCCCATTGGTCGTTCAAAGGCTGGTAAAATGAAAGGCACTGGCATTTAGGGGGGGGGGGCGCAGTTCAAGCAAATGCAGGACCGGTATTTGCCCGTGGCATTTTCCTGGGAACCGGTAGGTGGCCGTGGTCTAAAATATTTTGAAACGGCGTGGGGGCCGCAGGTCCTTGAAATTCAAATATGAAACG